AGCTGCCACGTATGTAAAGAAGTTGCAGTTATAATTATCTTGCTGGCTCTGTTATTTGATGCTCTTTAAAAGGAGGTTTTACTTCAGACCAGAATACGGGAACTGTTAAGCAGCTGCCACGTTGCAAGTATAATGAGAGGTGGTTCCACTCTAAACTTTTCCAGATGTTTTTGTCTTCACAGAACAAGTCTCAGCAGCTGCATCATTTCAATCCCTTCACATAAGACATAACTAATACACTGCAGAAAACATTCAGCCTTTCCAGGCAAAACAACTGAAACGCAGACTTGGGAATAGTATTATACAACTGCTGCAGCATTCATTAGGTTTGCCACTTAAAAAACAAAAACAAAAAAACCCTTGCCATTAATGGATGCTGAATGAGCTGAAATTTAACATGTGAGATTTTGCATTTCATTTAGGAAAACAGAACTCGCACCTCCATACCAGGGGAAGATCAACCAAATTTCTACATGTGTGGTTGCTTTAAAAAGTGCAATTGCAGAGACTTTACAAAAGACTAGCTCTCAATGAATACAAAGCTTTCATTTTGTTAGCCATTTGACTGCCAGGTACTCTTCAAACACACAGCAATAGGGGCTAGGCAAAGGGTAGATTGGGCAACTGCCAAAATTAAGGCTCTCCAACATGGAGACATTTTTAGAGCTCAGCGGCACACACCAACCACAGAGTGATTGTGCTTATCCTACACCAGGCGGTAACTCAGTGCCCTCCAGATGTTCTGGATGATACCTCTCATCAGCTGCAACCACCGCAGCTAACAGTTCAGGATGCTGAGAGATGTAGTCCAAAACTTCTGGAGGGCATCAGGCTGCCAGCCCCTTTTCTACACTGATTTAGCAGCAGAGCAGTGCAGTGGTCCACAAATGATAACAACGTGATCTTGGTGCAAGAAATGTTCTATCACCTCGGGTCTTTTTTCCGCTGAGAATTTCTTCCCATCTTTCTGGTTTGTGCATTGGAGCAAACCAGGCACTGGGGTTTGGGGATTCCTTTATAATAACTTGTCAAGAGTTGAGTAAGTGTTATACATGGGTTGTCACTGAAATATGGGTTTTTGTGTTATCTGAATCCAGATGTGATAACTAACCCTGGTTGGTTAACCACAAAGAACCCATGAAGAGAACCCATGGTTTGTTGTAGGGTTGTGAACTGTGGGTTGTTCATGAATAAAGATGTATTTGTTGAAGCTGAATTCAGACCACAAAATAATCCTCCTTTCATCAACAACCCACACTCAACCAAGTGTGGATTTTTGTGCTGTTTGCGCCAAATCTCTCATTCTGTATGCCTAAATGTTTGAAGACTGCTCTCTAAGCCAGGCCTGCACACCTTGTCATCTACTAAACTCAACATAGCCCATCAGCTATGGATGGTGGTCTACTAAGGACTCTGTAAACTCCCTGTTTTGCTTCATGCTTAGGACTGGCCAAAGGAGTTCAAATCCCTGTCAGGCCACATTGCATGCTGTGGATACAGCATCTATTCTCCACTCCCACTTCTTTCTCCAAGAACTGCAGAACAGGATAGGTAGGGTGATCCCATTTTATACTCACAATAACTCCCCACAAGTCTTTTCTCTCCTTTTCACATAGTAGCATCCCCCATCAATCCAGGCATACAAGCTTGCAACCCTCCCTAACCATCCCAACTGGTTTCTGGTTGCTGTTGCTCTCCCACCCTCTTACCCAGTCAGTTCCTGACTCCAGGTTTTCCCTTTCTTACTTACAACAAGCTCTGAAACTGGCAGAAATTTAGAGACCACTGCACACTGCTTGGAAGATATATTTAAATACTTAAGTAGTAACAATATGGGTTTAATTCTTGATATCAAATCACATCTAACCTTCCTCTGAATATCGCTCTTCATTTGAATCCAGAATACCGAATACAAGGGCATGACCGTTGCATGAGCAATTGGTCTGCCACTAGCAACCCACATTTCCAAGATTTATGAGAGACAATTCAAAGTCAGGGGAGAGAGTATGCAAAGCCTCCATTGTTACAGAACAGCCAATCATAGGAACAGACACAGCAGGAAGAAATTAACTACCAGTCTAGTGAGTCACCAATCCCAGCCACCTAGTATGATGAATAAGTTAACAGATGCCGATTCCCTAAGAAAGCACATCCCAACTACTCCTACTTAACCTTTGCTGTTCCGTTCCTAAGCATCTCACAACTACCTATTGGCCAAGAAGTCAAGTTAAGGCTGGCATCTGAGCTAGAAGTCATGATTAAATCTTATTTAAAAGCCTGTTGATTCTCTCTGCCATCATGCTTTTCATCCCCAAGACAGCCCAGCTGGAACCAAAGTATTTCAGAGAGGCCAAACTTTTCCTTTTATGGTTATGTATGCTGTAATTATTGTAGCCTGGTCTACAGAGCACTATCAACTAATCTACAGAAACACATAATGTTGGGGCAGTTGTTGGAAGTCAGATCAGTTACAGAGCTTTTCTACACAAGGCTGTTATTCCGCTGCTAATCCACTGCGTTTTACTTTTGGTTTTGTGGCAGAAATGAGATCCAGGTACTAAACAAAGTGCTTCCTTTCCTGCTTTTTTCTGACATAACCTCTAGGTGGTGCTGGGGTACACTGGAATAGAGCAAATACACCAGTAGAAACCATGCTTTCTTTAGCTTTCATGCTCTCAAGTGTGCAAACCAACACCCTCCAAGTGAGATGCACATAAGACTTCCAGCTCATAGGTGTCTGTGCATCCAGTACATGCAGCAAGGCACAGCAGTGGTAATCTCTACCACCGCTGCACATGGAGCCTTGTGCTGTGTATTTTCTCATGATGGCCATCTATATTTAGTGGCAGAGGAGGGAAGGAGCCTGGGTGCCAGTAGGAATGCAAGCCCCATCAGCCCCAAGTTCCTCCCCTCCCTACTGCCTGGGCTTGCCCCTTTTCATATTCATTGAGGCCCGGTTATGATCCTGGGGAGTCATGGTCTTCTGCACCAGCTTCAGGGGAGGCCTGGATGAGGCCTGGTCTTTGAAGGCCCAGCCCTGTGAGTTTGGGCTCTCATTAATCCTATGTGCCTTCCCCAGACAATGTGAGGAGGCCATAGGATTGCTTTCTAAATGCCACTTCTTCCCTGCTCTAAAAACTAATGGAAAGTGCTGGTTAGGCACAGAAATGAAACTAGAGGGCCATGACATCATCTAGAGGACCTATAAACAACTGAGTAGGGAATGGCAAGCACACAACAAATGTTTCATGTAGGAAAGCCCAGGGTGAGCATAATCGCACCATTGATAATAGTGCCTGCTTGCCTTATTCCTGGCAATGTAATACGATAACCCCATCTCTGCTTCTGTTTTCCACCAGTCAAGGCATCAGTGTGGTTCACCCAGGTGAGGTACAGATCCGAGTAACAGTGAGACTTTATATTTTCAAAAATAGGAGATTGAGCAATGTTTCTTTTTTCTTGTTTCCAGCAGTCCTGGAGCAGATCTAGCCGGATAAAACTGAAGCTAACAGTTCACCTACTGGAGCCCAATTTGAATATGTGAATCCCCCCCCCCCCATTTCAGTCTCTGATCATGATGCAGACAACTTAATCAATGGGGTGGAGGAACCCTTCTGAAACTCTCTGTCACTTGGTATTTCTGAATCTATCAGTGCTCAGAAAAGACCATTTGTTAATTACTTAAAGCCTGGTAAAATTAAAACATAGAAAGGAACAAGAGCAAAAAGAGTAATAATTTAGGGAGCTGTCAACAATAGTAAGCTTCATTTCATTATTATACTATATGGCTTCCAGAAGACACGTGCAACTGCTCACATTAAACTGCTCACAGATGTGCAGTTGCTCACCACATAATGGCCACAATCCAACAAAGAATAAGTATGCTTAAGCTCATTGAAATCAATGGGCTTAAGCTACATTAGTTTGTTTCCACCCTCTCCACAATATGTTAACAAGCCGTGAATAGCTTAGGGGGCAATCCTATGCCTGTTTAAACAGAATAAAGTCCTACAACTCTCAGCATTCCCCAGCCAGATACACTGTAGGTTTTTTCTGTGTAAACAGGCCTAGGATTGCACCTTTAGAGGATCAGATGGATTTCCCTCATTTAATGATGGATATTATGCTTTTCCTATACACACAAGCTCTTTTACTGAGACTGCCAGAAATGGCAGCTGTGTGTGTCAGGAGATTTGGAGCAGGGCTTACCTTGTATCCTGCTACCATTACGCTGTACCATCACAAGCTCCTATTGCAAGGGGAATGGACAGAAAATTTCGGTGTCATATCATCAGGATCCAAGGTAGGTTGAGCTCCATCTTGAGCTACTTGTGTAGAGATGGGAATTTGATCCTGGCTTACCATTTTTTACAGTTCTTCTCTGTAACATGGAGTTTCATCGTGAGGAGGGTAGACGTAGGTGTTAATTTTGCCACACCGGATAGGCTTTCTGACCAAATGTTTATTTGTGGCAAGGTAAACCATATGGTCGCACATGCACGCGCACACACACACACGCACACAGGGATGCTATCACAATAGAAAAAATACATGTAAAACAAACAAAAAAGAGACAATTCATGTTAGGTGCTTGCATGGTCAAACTTTTCTCTACCGAGATGCTACCAGAATGGCGACATTTGCAGCCTTTTCCTTTGCAGAACTACATCTGGATCCTCGAGCTCAGCCGTGCATCAGCACGTACAACTAACTATGGCATTTTGCATGCTCATCATTTGTACCAAGAGGAGCAATCGGAGAATCCAAGCCTGGAAATATTTTCAGGAAATCCAGGAGAACAAAGCACTGAAATCCTGAAACTGGCACTGTGTGCCACATATGCGGCTCTTGCTGTCTGTGCATTTCCCTTTCCAGATTTCTCTGAAGGGGCAATGCTATTTCCCCTCTGACGCTACTTGATTGCTCTGGTCTATCTTTTTGCTTTTGGCAGCAGTCTCAGAATATATTTCGAGAGTAGGGAATTGGGGTGGGGGGTGGAGAGGCTGAGAGAGGGAGAAGGTGAAAGCCAGCCCACATGTAAGGGAGAAAGGAGCAGATTTGGAAAATAGAGGAGGGGAAAAAAAGACAGCCAAAGAGAAACCCAGCCCAGCAAACGGTTTCCTGTTGCCACCTTCTAAGACGTTTAGATTCCTTCAGACCCTTGAAAGAGCCTGAAGTTTTCTCAGCTCCACCGCCTTGTCCCTGAGGTATGGCATTAAATCCTTTCTTTTCTACTCTCTGCTTTCAGTTGTTTCTCATTCCTCAGATTTCTTTCTTCATTACTAAGCAAACAGGTTGCAATTTGCAACAGATCCTAACTCTGGCATCTGAATTGTGTAAACTAGCAGGAGGAAAAGCTGGTTCTCTGTGTGGGAATAGCCTGGGTTTTGTTGACTTTTCGTTCCTGAATACTTTTGAGAATTTTGCTTGCTATGCTTTGCAGCTGTTACACTGCTCAAAAACATTGTTCTCCTTAGAGCCTTATTATTAGCATGTTAATAGTCTTAGTGTAACATTCAGAAAATTGGGATTTTGTTGCTTATTTAAATACAGTTCTCCCTATATCTTTATGGAGATAATTTGATTTTCAAGCAACTAGATACTCTGTCGCTGGGATCTCACAATTAATCCCCCCTTTAATTAGATTTGGCAATGCAATGCAGCCTGTCATTGGACGGTTCAGACTTCTGAGGAACTAAACTTGGCAACTGAACTGTATCTTAGCAAATTTGGCCGTATCAAAAGTCCATGACGAGAAGGGAAAACACAAATCCATCTCCATCTTTATTTCTCTCACCGATTTGTGTAAGACAAACTTCAGAACACTGACAACTTAGAAAAGGAGAGTGAGTTTCCAACCAGGATAGTGTGCACCTATTAAAAAGGAAGAGCGGGTGTTCAAAAGAACTTTATTGCCTTTAAAGGCAAAAGCTGCCTCCCTGGTCCCACCATGGATAATTTTCAACGGCTTCCCCTTGCAGAGCATTATTTTATCGGAACACCTTGGAAAGAGAGTTAATGCCACCCTTTACCTTGAATGTAAATACCAGGAGAACTTCTCTCTGGAGCAGAAAGGAAAAGGCTGCATCTTTCTTTCTTGAGCCCTCTCTTCTCCTATAGGGGCGGAACACAAAAAGCAGAAATGCAACAGATTTTTCATTGGGAATTGTGGAAAAGTTGCCTACAGGGGATTAAAGTGCATGCATGCATAGCTCCACAGGCTGGTTCAAACAAAGCCATTGTCTGCCACATAGGCAGAGGCAGGAGATGGTGGGGAGCGGGGGGAGGGGGGATATCAACTTTTCCAGCTCTTGCCAAGCCCCGCCCACTGGGGAAAAAAACCCTCTTCTCTGGCATGACTCTCCCACAGTGGAATGTCGGCTCCCATGGAAACCTTTTCAGGGTCTTCTGGTTCAAGAGATGGAGGGCCTTTAATGGCCTCCGATGAGGAAGGGGAAGGCTCAGTTCAGCTGGAGTTTTTTTCGTTTTGTGTTGTTGCACTGGCATTTCGATACTGGAAAGTTCAAAGGTTGATTTTGAAAGGCGGCTCGTTCTGCTCTGAATTGCCCTATTATGCAGCATCCCAAAGGATATAAAAATAACAAAGAGTCAGTCTCTTGAATTTTCCCATTATGCTTTGTTTTTATTTATTAATACATTTATACCTCACATTTCCCCTTTTGTAAAGAAACAAGATAGCCTATCCATTTTATCTTCATAACAGCCCTGTGAGGTAGGTTAGGCTGAGAGTCAGCGATGGGCCAAAAGTTACCCTGTGAGCTTCATGGCTGGGGTAGATGTCCAGAGTCCCACTCTGCTACCCTAACCATTACACCACACTGCCTCTTGCATGCTTGCAAAAGATAGTTTTGCCTATTATTCCTAGATAACAGTTGGTTCCTCTAGATGTTGTTGTTGCTAATCCAGTCATCAAGTTGTCTCTGACTTATGGTGACCCAGTGAATGAATGCCTTCCAAAATATCTGGTCCTTATCTTAATATTCACAGCAGTTCTTCCTCCTGTTAGTAAAAGCCCTTCTTTTATTCAGTATCATTGAACACCACAGCAAACATTTCAGCTCACTCCTGGAACATATGAAATACAGAAAAAGAAAATGGGGCCCTTAGCCCTTAGCGCACAGTTTTCTTAACCTGTCCCAACCTGGTGCTCTCCAGATAAATTGGATTAGAATTGCATCCCCCAACACGTCCTAATACTCATTTAGGATTATGTTCATGGATCCAGGATTGCTTGAGCAGCCACTAAAGAATATCACATTAGATTCTTCCAAGCAGCCACCGTTTTTCAAGCTGCATCTTGGAAGAATAGCAGTTAAATACACAAACTCAGTTATTTACACCAGGTGTTATATTTAATCTGTTTATATCTTAAAACAAAGGGCTACAATTAAGTCTACCTGCCTTTCATTGACTGTGTAAGTAGTAGCTTAGTCATTCTTCATAACTAAGCAAGTTTTTGATATCTTTTTTGCAGTGTGCGAGAAAGAGGGGGGCCATGGGGGAACTGAAGCACTTTCGCAGGTTCTGACCCTCTAGGCTTTCATCCAATCCAAATTTCCGGCCACTTTCCTTTTGGGACACAGAGCTGGAAGTTGAGAACATGACTGCTGAACAGCTGGGCTTGCTCTCGCTCTCACACTGCCACTGAAGCCATAAAAGAACCTGACCAAGTTTAGTCCAAAGCTATTGCCAAAACAACCCCGATTTTCTAATTCTGGAAACATTTGGCCTACATTCTCATGCTCTTGTGATAGATTTGTGTCTTGCTTCAGTGTGCAGTTGGGGAGACTGCATCAGTGAATGCTTGCTCCCGTTTATTAAAAAGTGTTCTGTGCATGAAAAGCTATGCCTACCGGGCTGTTGTGTTCTGACTTAGCCTTTTCCCTGTCATGCTGGTTTTCTACATACGGGGAACCATTGCACAGAGAAGCGTTCAGTCTTGTGAGCAACTCCCGCAAGCTCAGGGCTAGCATCAGCAACAAGGGCGGCTTGGCACTTGCCAAGGCCTGCAGTCCCTCTGGCAGGCAGGGGGACCACTAGGTAGGGACACTGGGAGGAAGGGTACTGCCTTCCCCCATAGCAACCTGGCCACACTCTTGCAGCCCCCACGACCTGAGTGGGCAGAGCTGCACCAGGTAGACTTCCCACTGGGAGACAGGACACCCCACATGCCCACGGTGGATCGAGGACAGCCTCTCATTTGCTCTGAGGGCTCTTACAAGAAGCAGAGCGTGGCTCCCTTGCAGTCCCTTCTGTGTTGTCTGGGCAGAAAGGAACCCATGCGAACACCTTGTGGCTGCTCCCCTCCTTCCGGCTGGATATCATTTGGATATGGAGGTCATTCCAGGCAGCCTGTGGGTTGACAGAGGCTCCCCTCACACATTTGATGGGGACCTGAACACACATTGCTTTGCCATGCCCTATCTATAGTCTGAGGGCCAAAATGGGCATTACTTTAAATCTGTATCTAGCAGCGATGTCTCCCCCACCCTGTTCTTCACTCTGGTGTAAACACAAGCAGCCTGATCTGGATCAGCACTGTAGTGTGTGTGTGCGGGGGTGGGTGGGGATCTTTTTAGATCTGGACTGGGGACCCTGCCCCTACTCTATGACAAAAGTGAGTTGGAGGGGGAATTGTAGCTGCTAGGCACAAATTTAAAGTAACATCTGTTTGGCCCTGAAGTGGTACATCCTGTGTCAGCCTTCCTACCTCAAAGAGACTTATGCTCAGTTCATTAAATATCATGGTGCCTGCTATCTGATTATATTTCAGAGACTATTTGGAAAGAGTTCGTCTTATGCAGCCAAGGACTAGTAACGAACAGCTCTGTTAGATCATAGTCCTGAATTTAAGATTACATAATCTTTTTTGTGTACCTTCAGAATTACTTGCTACCTTGCTTTGCCCTTAAGCCATTGACACTTTGGCAGGCTAATACCTGTCTCATAATTTACCTTGATAAAGCACTACATCTGAGGCCAGAAAGTGGATTCTGAACAAACTCTTCTTAGAAAGAAAGAAAGAACCCAACAATAAGATAATGATAGATTTGCAAAGTCCTGCACACAGAACAAACCATATCACAGAAGCAGGACAGAAACTGATTCCCACTTTACAGAGAAGAAGGTAATGTCAGGCATCGAATTGCATTAATAGCATTTGCTAAGCTCCTCTTTGCCCATCATATCATGCTGTTTAGCCAGTGTGGCCACTGAAATATGAAATGTGCAAACAGCCTTTCATCTTGAGCAAGTGTTCTTTTATGGTTTATTACAAGTACAGCTCCAGACAGCTGCCGATCTTTTCAGTGTTCTTACATCTGGCCCTGGAATCCTAGTCTTTTAATCTGGGTGAGGGGGATTGCTTTCACTGAAGTTTTGTCCATGGCTTCCATTACTTAATTACTTGAACATAAATAGATCCAGGCTGAAACAGACCAAAGCCCTATTTAGACCACCTTTCTTTTTTCACGGAGGCCAACCAATGGGAAGGCCACAAAGAGGACATGAGTGCAATAGCACCTTCCTGTTTATGCTCCCAAGAGATTGGTTTTTGAAGGCCTACAGCACAGATACGCATCCTCTGTCCCTCCATGGGACTTGGCTTACAACTGCTGTCTCATCCCTTATTATTGGCTGTACCTTATGGAAGGTAGGTCCAAACATCTGGAGGGCCACAAGTTGCCCATTCGTGGCATACTGCCTCTAATACTGGTGGTAATAGATAGCTATCCTGACTAGTAACCATGGATGGCACTGGATCTGCAGCTCTTTCAAATGGTGGTCAGAACAAAAATGAGAAAGGTACCATCTATGATCTCACAATTGAGCAGTTTCTGCTACTAGGATTTTGCAATCACTGGAAAGAATTTTTAGCTCTTTAAAGCATTAGGAGGGACAAGCTCTAGTTAATGCATCCCCACAGTCCCTCACACAAGGGGCAGCTTCTCATGACAAAGCCAAGTTATCATGGGTATGTAATCCATGATGAGCTGCAGTGCATTGTAAGAGTAGGCGGCCACTGTCATGAACATGCAACCAGGATAATTGAGGGGTTCTGGCTTGTGCAAGCCTACTAGTCGAAGGTTATGCAAGTGTTGTTTAACCTTTGAATAACCCTCACTGACTGGGTTCACACAACATGATGAGAGGTTGTGTGAGAGGTTACATATTCACGTTGGCAACT